AAGTGCAAGAAGAATGGTCAGTTTCGCCACTCGTCACAAAAGCACGCCAGTTGCAATCAGGTCACTCAGCCAACACAGGTTGGAATAAAAAGTAGTATAGGTTGGAGGCCATCGCTACTAGGGGGAGGCCATCGCTCTTAGGTTGGCAGCCATCGCTAGTACCAACTCTTGACCAATTGACTGTTCATCTCTTGGGGTAAACATGAGCCAGCAGAGGTTTATGGCTCGACAAGTAGGACCCCGGTACTGGTTCTAGTCTCAATATAAAAATAGCCAGTGGGTCTGCACATATAAAAATACCCCCAAGAATTTGTGTGGAAAATCCCGGGAATTTCATCGATGTGATTATGATGCTGTTTCCGGGGATTTGAGTGGGGAAGGCAATCCCCAAAAAGGTTGTCCCCATGAGTCCCCCAAGCTTTGACCAACCATCACCAGAAAATCTCTACCGGGATGTTCGGACACCGACGAATCAAACCTTCAAAAAGAGGGAAGACATTCTTTTTTTATGCAACATGATCAAAGTTTCTCTCAACCGAAGATTGACTCTGTGTAGGGTTCATTCCCATGAGGCGACCTCAACAAACACGAAAGAAAGGGTATACTGGACCCAGAGTGAGCATCACGAGTAGCCAAGAATGAGGGAATGACATACAGTAATCTAATCATCTGAACCAAAAAAAAAAAAACCTAATCATCTGTAGGGCTTGTCTTCGTCGCCCAAACGATTTGGCAAACGAAGCCCAACGAGCATCGTGGCGCTTCAGCCCAGGTGAGAGGACCCATACGACAGGAACAAGGGTCCGCGTCAGTTCTGACGAGTCCACGCGACTCGGTGAGAATGAGGAAATGGATCCTATCGGAATCAGTGGAGGGTTATTCCTTCATTCCCTTCGAAAGAACAGCAGCAAAACCGCAGAATCAGTGAGTGACAGACCGATCTGAAGGAAGCGGAAGTTCGACCATCCAAGGATTTGATTTAGAATTTGCCCCAACCCAAAGCGTTCATGTACGGAATAAGGACGAATAAGTAACAAATCCAATAAGTAAGTAACGATTCCTGAATGTAGACTGTTGATTCATAACCCCTCAATTTGGATTGCAACACCAAAAGGTTGGGGGTTAAAATATCATCAAGATGTAATCTTATATACATGTATGCTCTGGGCAATGGACCTGAAAGCGAGGCGATCGGTGTCCATGGTGTGGAGAACCCAGAGGTTCATCGCTCCGCATGTTCCGGACGTTCGCGCTAGACATCGCATTTCGTGGCCCTAAAGGATGTATATAAAAATAGAACTTTAAAAAAATAACATTGGGGGGTTGAAAACGCATCCAACAAAGCAGTGGTCCAGTACTCATCAAATGATACATCCTCACTTGACAAAAACGAAGCCGTTGAGTCCAGGGGACAAAAAAAAATCTGCTCTCCTGCAAGGTTCCAGGTCAGCGATCGACCCCTCTTCAGCTTCACACCCCTGACCCCGAGCGATTCGTGGACTTCCAAGAAGTTGAGAACGTGATGCAGTCAATCAGTTTGTCCCCAGCCGTTCTATCCGGCCTGGGGGTTGTGGTTTTTTTCTGCCCGATGAGAAAAACCGACATGCGAGCGACCCCAAAGACCGCATCGCACGCACGAACGGATGACATGCATATGGTAGCTGTCCCCAGCCCCCCCTTACATCAGGTATGCTGAAAGTGGACTTACTATATAGATCCTATATATGGTAGGTTCGTTTTTTTTTTGCAACCCCACCCCCAACTATTCCTTACACATCACTTGTAAGACATGCATATAAGTGTCAATATCCACGGCTAGGATCGACGTTTGGGCGATTGAAATGCTGATGTTCGTCAGTGAATGGCAAGGATCAACAACCAAATGGTGGCAGCCAAACTAGTATGTAGAGGCTGAGTACGTACATACAGTGCCCAAAGAAACTTTGCTGCAGCCTATCATTGATCCTCACCACATTCCAGGGTTGAACCCGTTTGAAAAATCACGAGCTACAGATTCGGTTCTTAGTCCGTGGTCGGGCGCACAGGCCTCCAGCGCGCAGCCCAGCAGTCAGCCCGGAGTTTAGATATCTTAATGCCAGGTATATTCATTTCATTACGATCGATGTTCATCTGTGAGGTACTCATCTGAAAAGAACCAACACTATTGGCCAAAAGCTTTCAGAAGCTGAACATAAGGATTCCGCAAACAACACTGCATCTTGGTGATCTTGATGTGGCTTGGACTTTTTTTGCAAAATCAGTCCAAACCATTGAATCTCCTTAGAGGTGCGGACCCCAGGTCCTTTTGAACAATTTTGTCCCTGAGGTTTATTTTGTGTTTTGTGATTCCCCCCTTTCTTGGCTTTTAATCACCACCACCACCACCACCACCACCACCACCGATCAAGCACCACCGATCAAGCACCAAGTCCGTGCCTGTCCTTGCTTAATCCCGAGACTCAGGACTCATTCTGTATATATATATACACTAATAATTAAATACCACTATAGACATGTATAGATAAGTTAAGCCATAATAATCCTATATCAATTATTGTTCACACACACAGACTGAAATGGAATTGACGCATAAACGTATATATACAAATTTGTGGTGGTTCGGAATAACACATACAAAGGATTTCACGCCATTCCGTTCCTGGGAGATGTCCGGCGTTTTGACCCTTTGGTCTCCTTAGTGTTACGTTAATTTCAGGAAAAAGAAGCAACCGTATATGAAACAAACATGTGTTTCCTGCAACCTGCACACCTCTCCCTAGTTTTTTTTGATGGAACTGTCCCGAAACAAACAATCCGTGTTTGCTCTGTAGAAGGGATTCTGCAACTTGAAGAATCAAAAATCCAACATTCTCCCCAACGGCTTTTCCAGTCTGTTCTCTTCATATGGCTTATATTGGGAGGTTTACCGTGTTCGAGCATCTCAAACCGAAAACCCTGGAAAGGCGCAGGAACCCTTCGGTCCAACATCCCCAATGGCCATTTCTGGTCCCTCCTCTTTGCCGGACCCTCTTTTGGGTGACGTATCCTAGGCATAGGATGGCATAGGCATATATATATATATACATGCAAGGCTATAAAATGTTAATATTAGTATTGATTGGTATTAACATATGTATATCTATGGTATTGTAATGTATACATATATAATCATATATATATATGTTGGGTATATCCCGTTACCAGTAACAATAGATGATGATGGTTTGGTTGCAGGCCTTCCTCCAAAATAGGAGACAATCTCTTACCGGCTGTTATAGCTACTTATAGAGTTACTTGTTGAAAGCGCAAAATCGTAAAACACATCAAATCCAGGACATGACTGTTCGACCATCGGCTGGCCCCGACCCTACTGCAAAAAGTTGTTCTCTTGCATCACTCGAAAGGCATCCCTGAGATTGGTGATGCACACATCCTCTTCCAAAAGAGCAATCACCTGAGACCATCAAAGGGTCGACCGGTGTCCGGCGAAGTGGGCAACATTGGGGGGGCGCAACGGCTTCAGTGGGAAGGTGGGAAGGCGCCCGCCATCAAACACCAAGGCCAGGAAGGAGGAGTCTTTTGGCCCGAGGGAATTCTGGCATCCGTGTTATGGACCCTTTCCACTACCCTTTCCTTCCATTTGATTCAGAGAGAGCTTCTTGCTGAGAAAAGAAGCAATTATGATAGATGTTATATGACTATCATGTCACTTTGTCTTTCTCCTGTTTCGATCAGCTTTGAATGGTAGAAAAAGTATCTTCATACGCGTCAGTTTGCGGACAAATCTCCAGCAATTCCGGTGTTTTCAGGGCTTTTCCCCGAACAAAGACCAAAGCAGTGCAAGTCAATATAAGTCGTGAGTTGCAGGTGACAGGCGACGGTCTTTACCGTTTCACACTGTCAACGACCTTCTTAGAATAACACCCAGAGTAGTTGAAGCGTCTCCGAGACTGCATGAAGAAGAAATCCAGAACCATTCTGACAGCTCTTGAGACTCGACATGAGGCAGAATCTTCATGAAAATTCTTAATTATATAGTATGAGGAAATATGAGGATGTATGAGGAACTGAAGATATCTCTCTGACATATGCTCCACAAATCACTTGGCAAGTAAGAAAACAGCCCACCTTCACAACGCACCCACCAAAACCACGCAGGAATGAATCGAAGAAGTCACAGCGGTTCTCAGCGGTTTGAAGCCAAGAGATGGATCTTCGCTGCGCTTCGGATTCCATCGATGAGCCAGTCAGGTTTCCATCTACAGCTTCTGTCTGCATCTAACCTCGACGATCCGGACAACAACGGTAATTACTTGAAAAGGACCCCTAATTAGACAAAATCCTTGTTTCTACATGTGTTTGCTCTATATTATATATATATATATATGTGTGTTGGATGTGTTTTTTGGGCGATGGAATCCTGCGTTCTGTTGGACGCCCCCCTGGTCCCCGTCTCTTCTGCGTGTGGATTTAACCTTCCGTCCAAGAGACATCATCGTGGGATCCGTTCAAGTCATGCGCGAGGGCGAAGTCGATGGGCAAATGACCCTGGGAGGTCCTCGATCCGCCCGGACCGCTCCGCCGCTCCGCGCTCCGCGGAGCGATGCCCGAAGCGGATGCGGCTCCGCGAGACAGAGCGCGGCCGGGCGCCCACCAAAAACCACCGGTGTTTGGGTCCTCGAGTTCGGGAAAGACTCTTGAGCGTGTTTGTTGTCCCGAAGGCGATAGCAAAGGGTTCTCGTGTCTTTTTCGAAGGTATACCGTGTACTGTCGCCGGGCTCGCCCCGTGATGTCCACCGCTGTGTCGACCTCGCTCGATGTTGGTGGCAGCTCGACGTTCATGTTGGTCGGTGGCAGGCTTCCGGGGTTGTGAACCACAGCCGTATGACCTTCCTACAGAGGTTAAGGTTAAGTCGTGACCTTATAGGACTCTACAGGAGTACCTATAGGATAGTCTATATGGTTCTTCAACCTCTGCTGGTTATTACCTGATTAATTAATGGTTGTTCACTAGGGAAGAACTTCTCTATTAACCAAGGCCGTTGATATACCAGGCCATTGATGGTGCACAACAGATCCGAGCGGAGAGGCCAGTGGCCAGGCACCGGTTGTTGAGATGGGTTGGTGATCCAGATCCCGTTCTCAACTTATCCCTCACAAGCTTGAAGCCAACTCAGCTGAGGGTGCTATAGAGCCTTTTCCGAAAGAAACACCTGTACGCCGAGGGTGAAGAAAGCTGGTCCGGTGTCTCACTAAGGGCCATTTGGAAGTGTGCACTGTGGAGCATCAAGGGCAGCCTGCAGATCAAAGTATCTTTGATGATTGATTCTTCCGCCATCAGAGCTCCTGGTTTAAATGTCCTTCAAACGATATTTGATCGACTGACTTGAACACACTTGGAGATGTGCGTCGGAGATACCAATATAGTTCCTTGTGTCAAACTATACAATTTCTGTAGAAGAGCTAGATGAGGTGACGGCCATGCTCCGGATTCCTCCTCAAATGAGAATCTATATGGACTTGTCATGTCGATGAATTATAATATTATACAGTAAGTGGTGTAAACTAACTCCAATACTAGTACCAGGTGGTTCCAGACTCCGTTTACCCGAACCAAGCCCGCCTCTGTTGAGGATCAGCTCCTGCTGCCAGCAAAGACCGGAGTAGCTTGATGTCTCCAAGCTCGGCCGCTGCATGGATGGGATAAATGCTCTCTTCTCGACCCACGAGCCGATGACATCTGCCGTCGCCGTCGCCGTCGCAATGGGGTAACCCGCCACGTCACGTCTGCAAAGAAACCCATGTTTAACAAAAGGATACCAAATCGCCCGGGCACATGGTGTTTTTCACGCCCGTCCACATCGCCGTGTTTCTGGTCGGTCTCACCGCGGTTCCAACCGAGAGGCATTGTCCGACGTGCACAGTTACACCGGCCACTGCTGAGGACCCGACCAACGAGGATGAGAACGTTGGTGGGCAAGCGTTTTGGTTGGAGGTGAGAAAACCAGTTCATGGGAAAATGAAGGGCACGACAAACGATCGCGCGGCCCTTTCGTTGGCGATCACGCGATGCGAACGATGCAGAATGCATCGTCAAATGCATTGAATGCGGCGCAGGGATCGGACCATGCCCATGCGGACCACTGGTCGGCTTCGAAACCAAAGCGTGGGGATCGACCAGTCGAGTTTCACCGGCTTCTCATGGCGAAGGGGTTGCTGTGAATCGGCTCTCTTTGTTGGAAGAGTCTGGCTCCTCAAGCTAGCAAGAGTGCGTTTTGCCATGTTTGTTCCGCTGTAGTTGTAGGTTGCACAAATCCAAAAATACTCCGCTTGGTTGTGGGGATGACCTGATTTGCTGGTTGAGGTCACTCACGAGAAATGTGAGGAAGTTGCAACTTTCTGCACGATGCAAAGCGTGTTGTGATACATGCCAATACACGCAGCTCCAGATTCGCCCCCAACCAGCTGCAAGTGGTGCTGCTGCTTTTGGATGTTTTTCCGTATCGGATGGCCAGCGCTAGAAAATCGGTGTGTCACGCAAGACAAAGGGATATAGCAATATCATGGTTGGAATTGTTGGTTCCATTTGTATTGATAGAGAGTACCAGCTTCCTGTTCGCATGTCTAATGATTAAACATCGGAATAGTTTTACAAAGTTCAATTCATCCTCCGCACCAATGAATGCACTATTGACAATCAAATGCTCTCAGTGATGGAGTTTCATTTCAGGCGTCAAACCCGGCGCTGCCTGAAATTCCGTATTCTACCCGCGATGAGTTGATTTTAAACAGTTGCAGCTATGCACTCCGTGCTCAAATCTCTTGATCCGCCTGAGAAAAAAACAGATGCTGCGCATTACCGATGCTTGTATAAACAAAAACAAATATATATATATATATACTGGTCGACTGGTCGACTATTGAGATTTACATCCTGGAAAACAGTCGCACGCTGTTTGCCTTTCGCCTCCAGTAACCACTGTACTACATGGGGGCCCATGTACAGAGCGGCGACGGAGGTCTATCCGAGTGAAGTTCGGGCTTTCCACCCTTTCTTCCTGGAATTGGTCGCCGCTTTCTTGTGCAGGGATGATGATGTTCCAAGCCCTTGTGAAAAGCCCACTCAGTGGGACAAACATTGAGTCAGGTGCCCGTGCATGTCAAAGGAATGATTGAATCACCGTGGCCACCGACAGTGTCTTCAGCAAGGCTCCCGAAGAAAGAAATTATACATAGTTATATAGTACAAATTATGCGAACTGAAAATGGTTTGAAGCTCTGCCACGAAGTAAACAAACGCTGGCCTGAAAAGGACCTCCTTGAAGGTATTCCTTTGAAGGGAGTCTGGAGAACAGGCGGCCTCAAATGTTGCTTCACTCTGACTCACGTTCCACAGGGGGTGAACCCACTTCCATGTGATGCGTTCATCGGAGTGTGCATGGGTTGGACCAGTCTTACACTCCGAAACACGAACACGGAAGTGGACAATCATCTGTTTGGAAAGGAATTCATGGTCATCCGGGGGCCCATGGGTTGGAACAGACCCAAACCCACACACCCGCGTGATTGTTTTTTGCGTCTGATGCTTCAAGTTCCGTTCCTAGAAACGCGATCGCAGCAGAGTCCGTCCTTCTTTTGGCGGCGGAACGTAAAGAAGAAGCAGCCCGCCTCAACCCGTGGCTCGTTGACATCAGTACCTCAGAACAGAATCCGGCAACTCAAACCAGCTGAGGTGGGAAAAAAAAAAACAAAGTGCATGCAGAATATATGGCATTCAATGGGTCAAAACATGGTGACCCTGGTTGACCACCGGAAATGAACAGAATATATATATATATAACACAACAAATGGTTTATTTACCAGACATGGTCAACATATCAGCGCAAACGGAACTCCAGATTTTGACCCACAGCCCCGCCCCCAAGTACGGCGTCTTGTTTCCCGGCCCTTCAAATGATGGCAACATAGAGGGTCCCAAGCGGACTGCAAACAAATGACCTGGATTCCCCATGAGTCCGTATGGCCCAAGTCCGGTCAGACATTTCACAGTAGCATTGATTTCGCAAATAAACGCCGATTCCCATCCATTTCCGGGAACATCCATCGATGCCGAGCAGCTGAAGCCGTAGGTTTTCAGAAAGTGCGCCAGTCTCCTCGGCGCCCGTGGTCACTCGACGGTGCTCGGTCCTTCCTCCCAGCTGTGGAAGAATCTGGCACGGAAATTTCTGTGGCCGGAGAGGAGTTTCTGTGGCCAAGCGCTGCTTTTGAAGCACCGCCATTGTTTATAAAATGAAAGTGAAACTACAATACCAGCCCAACCTTTAACCTTTCTTTCAACGGTAATTGAAGGCTACAGGAAGGAGCGAATTTCTGTTGTTTTTTGGAACAGCAGATCGATGCCACACCTTCCTTCACACCTTCTGGAACCATCGGATGCACTTACAACCCCACTGTGACATTACTGAAACGATTGGGAGCCATACCTCAACGACCTGCTCAGTTCCACGTCCCCAACCAGAGTTGCTCTAACGCACATCTCACAGCAAGATCACATGGGATACTTGGACCGAGTTGACACCCATATCTGAGGCTCTGAGGTTGGAGGCCACCACTACTAGATTGGAAGCCATCACTACAAGTATTTTGGGTTGGGGGCCATCGCTATTGGGTTGGAGACTATCCATCGCTATACTAGGTTGGAGGCCATCACTACTAGTAGGTTGGAGGCAGTCGCTATTAGAGGCAATCATGGCTACTAGGTTGGAGGCCACCGCTAGTAGGTTAGAGGCATTGGAGGCCATTGCTACTAGGTATCTCTTCGGTTTTGAATGTCTGGACTGTCTCGACTGGACACAATTTTAAAAAGAACTGCTTCTCCGGCACCGTGGTGCACCGGGTCATTGATCTCTGACTTTTAAGTTGGAGAATGTAAACGGCCTATGAACAAAGACCCTCTTTATACAAGTCCGGCAGGGTCCGCGTCCCCACCCCGACTGTAGTTGGAGAACCACCGCGCATGTCTCGCATGTGCTGCCGCAGGCCCCACTCGGAGCCAAAAGAGCGCAAGCAAAGGTGGCAGCGATGGCGCGGTGGCTCGGCGCGGCTTTTTCTGTGCGCTGCTGGAGGAAGGTGAGACTGGGAAGGGCTTGCGGCGCGACATGGCGAGGAGCGGGCAGGATGCGGAGGTAGTAAAGTGCTTGAGACTACAACGGCGGCGTGAGAAAGAATATACAGAAGGGAAAGCAACGAAGTGGGAAGGAAAGAGCAGGAAACAGGAAGACGCAGGTTTTCGAGCATCGGAAGAGGTCCGGTCTGATGTCGTCAAGCCATTCAAGGCACGCGGTAGATGGAACTGGGTAAAGTCCAAGAGGTGGATGCAGTGATACCCATTATGATAGCATGGGCCCAAGGTCGTTCAATACCTGCCGGATGATGTCTTTGGGTCCGGTGAAGAGGTGCCAAGGCTGTGCATCATCAGCGGCTCCACGTATTTGTCCGTGCGACGGAGGTAACGGAACTCCTTCTCTTGAGAGTGTGCCAGATGCCCCAGGTGTATCCAGTCAAAGCCAAAGTGTAGATCTGATTGTCGGTGCCCTCGCGGACAATTCCCGGATAGGCCTCCCAGATGGATGGGGGAGCTGGATGGGGTGAAAGACCAAATCGCCTTGGACGAAAGTAATCTCGAGGTCGAAGCCAAGGATGTTCAGTGTGTGTGTGTCCACACCGGTGCCTAAGGTTTTGAGTCATAAAGAACGCTACTGGGGCCCCTGGTTTTGCTACTAAGGGCTCCTGGTATCGCTACTAACTTACAGTTTCTCAACGCAGAAAAAGAGGCAGGGGACGCAGAAAAAGAGGCAGGGGGGCAATGAACACTTTGGAAGGCATTGCCCAACGAAGACCCTTCCATCGTGTTGTGATATTCCTGAGGGACGCCTCGGGCACGTACCTGCATCTCTCAATTTTAAAGCTGTCCACTGCCGAGTCGCAACTGTTGTGGGAACAAACTGTTCAAACATTTTCAAGTCTGCCGACTTTTCACCTTTCCGTCCTGCATTTTTCGGTTCCATCGAGTCAAGGTCTAATGCGTGTAAAGTGGGACTTCATACTGATCCTAGCTCCTGCGAGCAACAATCTAAGTGTGTTTTCGCCACAGGGTCCCACTGAGGGCTGCGGTGTGATCCCCGTCAAGGGGCGCAGCATGTGCACAGACCCAGATCCTGGGGGAATCCTGAACTGCGTTTGATCCTCTCTGATTGGTGGTGATGCACGATACCATTGATCTTACGCCGCAGGGCTCACTGTGATTCCCACTTAAGATTCTCATGGAAACATGCGCCTAAGTATTCACAGGCGGGTTTTGGCACTGTGCTTTTGTTACATGTTTTTCATGCTCTTCGGTTCTTTCTCTCCTTTGTTGCTTTTCGTTTCTTGAGGCCTTTCTTTAGGTTCCAGGTGTCTTTCAGAGAAGGGGTGCGCCGGCCCAAATCGGCTCTACTTGAAAGCCAATGATGGCAAGGCCTACAGGCCACCCTAACCCCCCTCCCCCCTACCTCCCTATACCCCTGGGCCTCGGTTGCTATCCCACCCGCCATTCGGGCAACGGAAGGAAATCGCACTCAACACACTTGTGCGTTGGTGCCTTTCCTTCCGTTTCTCCTACTCTATTGCTAGCTACCCGGGCGGTTTAAGACAAAATGCCCCGCTCGCGTTCTACTTTCATTTAACTAAGTGGGCCTCGTAACTACACCTATCTTTCCTTCTTGCCCTCTTAGTCTGCTTTTGTTTTGTTTGCTTTTTCTGTTTTTCTAAGGCTTTTTAGGTCGCTAGTAGTCTTCAAAAAAGCGCCAATATTGGCGCTATGTGT